ATCTCTTTAAGTCCAGTGTGAGACCGGCCTGAGCAGCACAGTGAAACCCAACTCTAGAAAACCCTAGGAAAAAAAGCAATTGAAAATGTAATCACCAATTGATATAGAAAGCAGATTGGTGACATCCAGGGCTGGTGTGGACATGAAGTTTCCTTCTGGGTGAAGTCAAAGTGTTTTGGAACTAGATTAAGTGGGCAGTTGAACATTTTTATGAATGCACTAAATACCGATGAATTCTTTTCAGTATGATGAATTTTATGTTTTATAAATTTCACATCAATAAACAGAAAAAATGGCTAGTTTCACTTTCATGGTTGTCAAAGCCTATTGTGATTCTGAGTTAGAGGAGGCCCATACACTCTCCTTTGTGGATGTCAAGTATACTAAACTTGGAAAAGTGTGATTAATTCCAGTACTGTGGGAGGCTGAGGCAAAAGATCACAAGATGAGCCTGGCTTGGGCATCTTAGAAAAACCCGGTCCTGATTGACAGATTATAGATAGATAGACAGACAGACAGAGACAGGTAGATGGATGGACAGACAAAGACAAACGGATGAAGAGCTGCAGATGTAGCTCAGTGTGAAAGCCCTAGGTTCAATCCCCAGGAGGAGAGAAGCACTGCAAAACTGTTCTTCTTGGATAGAGACACCGAGAGATATTAGCTCTCTTCCTCTTTGCAAATGGAAAGTAAATCTAATAAAACTGCAACATGCAGTTGCAGCAAATAGCCATAACTTACTGACCACATCAGAACATTTAAATTCTGTATAGGTACACAACAATGTTTTAGATATAGATGCACAACATACATTGTTAAGATACATTCTTAAAACTGGAAGATGAAAAAATCAGAAAGCTGTACAGGGGGCTGGGTGTGGGGCACACACCTATAATCCCAGCACTCAGGAGGCTGGGCAGGGATCACTGCAAGTTCAAGGCCTGCCTGGGCTACACAGTGAATTCAAAGCCAGCCTGAATTGTATAGCGAAACCTTGCCTCAAAAAGACAAAAAAAATAAAAATAAAAATGCACATTGTTCTACATATACCGAATGGGCAAGCCAAAGCTGTCCAAAGACATTCCAAAGCAAACCCTGCTGTCTCTACAAGCCGCAGATTCTGTACATCTTTCTTCCCACACCTTCATCCTCTATCAGTAGACACAAATGGTTGACTGACACAAATTCACCGATTCTGATCATCACTATGGTGAAGACACAATTGTAACAGCAAACACTGCAAGCTGTGATACTTAAGCACACGTTGACAATCAGAAGGCCAGTATACATCCACAAGTCTCACGAACAGCATTCTGTCCTCTCCTTTATGGCAGAAAACAGAAGGTCAACATGAGTGCTGCCATTTTGCTTTACTCTGAGTGAAAAGACTGTCGGGAGACATTAGAAAAAAATGAGCGTGCACTGAGGTGCCCTCACGTCAGCACCACGCACGGGAAACTTCCCCAGCAGCAGACAGCTGCTTTCCACAGCTGCCCAGGTAGGAGTCAGAAAAGACACGAACTCAGTGGCACTGGACGGCCGCTTGCACAAACCCTACATGCCAGCAGGGATCCTCTGAGTGGAGCTGTCTCTACTAATGGCCCTGGCCACGGAAATGCCCACCCACTTTGTGCCGACTGCCCAAGCCTTATGGCCACCTACTCTTTCTCCTCCATCTCCCTTCTTGCTGGCTGCTCTGTAACTGACCGTAGTCTCACCACAGAGAGAGGTGCAGGGTGTCAACCAGACCTCCAGTGTGACCTGCCACTTTTAACTCCGCTCCCACTCTTTCTCTCCTCTGACTTAGCTCATAGGAATAGAAGCTGTGCACTACCTCAGGACAAGAGGACGTGCTTAGCACAAGAAAGGAGGGGCAGGAGGCAGGTGGGAGGGAGGGAAGGGACAGGCAGGCAGCGAGGGCAGGAGACAGGGAAGAAGGGAGAGAAATAGCACAAAAAGGAGAGGAAAAAAGAAAGAATGGTGAAGAAAGAAAGAGAAGGTTCTCCTGGCCAGGCAAGCATCTGAAACCTGGCCACGTCACAATCTGCAGGTGGGAATATGTCCTGTCCAGAGCTATCCTACCTACCATATACAGCTTCAGGGCTGTGGCTGTGTGGCCTGAGACAAGTTTTACAAACTCCTGTGGCTGAGTTTCCTTATCCTGAACAGGAGGATAATAAGAAATGGTATTTCAAAGAAAAAGACAGTAATATAAATGCCTCAGCACAGGATCTGGTGCATGAATAGTAAATAATATGAGTCAAAGAGACAGTGAAGTAATATAATACATGGAAGAGCTGACCGGCACTCACAGCTCTGTGGACTGTAATAGCGTTAGAAGCTGACGGCATGGATGTGGAAGGCCCAAAGTTGCAGAGCAGGGTGGCGTAAAAGGACTGCTGTGTGTGGCCAGTGGTGGAGTGTCCCTGAGCATTTACAGAACTGCTTTGTGATAACTCATGAAATATATAAGGTCCTCTTTCTGAATTATTTCATCTGCATTCATGATCTCTAATAATAATTAGCAAAGAATAGAGGGACTATAAAAGTGCAGTAGATGCAATCTCAGAATGTTTCCTTAAAGAAAAATGTCAAGCTGGATTCAAAAATCAGTCAAGTAAATGAAAGCAAAGATTACTTCAGGTGAGTTAGAGATCTGTTATGGCTTTTTTCTAGACATCCCCCCAAAGGCTCATGCACTCATAGGTAGGGCCTTCAGAAGGTGGCTGGATCCAGGGTCAACTGGCTGGAATTAGCATAGTTCTGGGTGTGGCTAAATGGATTTGCTGAAGAGAAGCCCCATCGTGGACGTGGGTGGCACCAGCCAAAAAGCTTGCAGCCTGGAGGGGTAAAAGCAAAGGCAGGCTATTTGCTGCTTGCTGCTTGCTGCCGCCTACCCTACCATGGGCTCTTTCTCCTGAGGTGTCCTTTGGCCACGCCCTCCTCCCTAGGAAACAGCCAACCATGGACTGACACCTCTACAAACTGTGAGCTGAAATAAACCTTTCCTTCTTAGATGCTGGGCGTCAGGTGTTCTGTCTTAACAAGAAAAGTAACCAAGACAGGTTCAGAGAGGGGAAATGAGTGGGGTCCAAGGATAGGTAGGCTTAAACAGTACAGGGGAACAGAGGAAATCAGGGTGAAAAAATCATTGGAGCAAACTTGTCTGCCAAAGAAAATGTGCTGTGCCCCAGAAATCCAACCAAACAACAGCAACTGCACAGGAAGGATAATATCAACGCTTTCCTGCTCAAAGCTTCTAAAGAAGGCAATGATATTATTTCAAGGAAAGCAAAAACAATATGCAGAGATACCGGATACTAGTCCTATGGAAGAGTTCACAGTGATGAGCCTCATGTTCCAAGATTACAGTGGGCAGTGCTTCCAGTCACGGCCTTCAGTTAAAAAGGAAAACGAACACAGATTCGTGTACTAACCAGCTGAGGGCACATCACTAATACTACTATGTTAAGGCACCTGTGAAATGAGTGAGCAAGCAAAGTGCCTGGTGAGGGTGTCGAAAAGAACACAGGTGAGAAAGCCTGGGCATCAAAGATGCTCAAGAAACAGGAACTTAGCACCCAGGTGGTTAGAGCTGCAGGCCCACAGCCACAAAAGAAGTTTCAGGTATTACCCTTAGACCAGCCCAGGAACCCAAAGAGGGTCAGCAGTGAGGAATCTAACCAAGGGCATGTGTCCCCTGTCTCTCTCTCTCTCTCTCTCTCTCTCTCTCTCTCTCTCTCTCTCTCTGTGTGTGTGTGTGTGTGTGTGTGTGTGTGCATCCTCGTATCCATTATGTTGAATCGCTCCCACCCTAATCCCAGCAAGTGCCCCACCCTGCACACAGGATACCTGTGGAAGTTTTTTGATTTTTGCTTTTTGGATTTGGATCTGTTTCTTTGTTTTTTATACAGGCACCGTGATGAGAAATCTTTTGGAGCTTTCAATGATACAAACGACCTGCTGCAGCACACATGCCATAGGTTTGCTGCCACTGGTAAAGGATCTCCCTATGAAGACCAGGCTGGCCTTGAATTTAAAATCCCACCTCCTCATCCTCTCAAGTACAGGGATTAGAGGCATGTATATAGGGATAGCTGTCTCCGAAACAATATCTCTGGAACATCCTCCCTAGCTTTAAACTCTGCAGAGAAATGAGCAAATATGTGCAAACCGGGGTGCACAAGAGCCAGGAATGAGATGATTCAACAGCAATTACAACCGAACCCTCACCAGGACCACTTCAAAGGGAAGGGCTGTGCCTGTGCTCTTCAGGAACCACAGAAGAGATCCAGTTAGAGAAAACAATGGTAGCTGTACTCTGACTACCTGAGCAAGAATGATCACTTTTCCATAAATTTGCCATAAAAAAAAGAAGTGGTTACCATAGAAGTGAAACTTATTAAATACAGTTGGAGAAGGCCACTTTCCTGGCACACTCTCAGCTGGAAAGGTGCTGGATTCACACCATCTGACAAGGATTGTTACCTGAGCTTCTAAACAGAAGGTGCACACAGTGAGATACTGACAGGTGTCTGCTCCACAGTGCTCACTCTGTGCTCCCCCACTTCTCTCCTCAACCTGAACCCAAGCTGCCTCTGTGTCCCTTCTGAACCCACCTCTCTCTGGTCTCACAGGTCTGCTGCACCCCTTCCAATCTATTCTCCATCATGGCGGCTCTGACATAGAAAGAAACTTTCCCTCTTTGGACACGCATAACTGTGACTGATACTTTTACTGCTGTTTGCACTCCTCTGGTTGCTCAGGTTTGAGGATGCTTTTACTTCAGTGTGCTATCCTGAGGCCCCATAACACTGACCAGCTGCTACACTTAGCGGCCTTAGAAGAGTGGAGCTGTCCCTTTCTGGTAAGAGGACATAAAGCGAAACTGAAATCTTCCACTGAAGGACACTATAAACTTCCTCAATCCTGAAGAACCATGCACAGGCTTCGGTTGGTAATGTGCCAGAGCCTAACTGTAGGAAGTCACTGTACAATGCGAGCTGATTTGACAATGCAGAGCAGAACGGGCTACTGAAACACTCTTTTCTTGTGTAGTTCATCCTTTCATGGCCAAGCTGAGCCCTGCATTCCTCCTTTGTTTTTTGTTTGATTTTTGCAGTGCTAAGCAAGACACTGAGCAGCATTGCCAGTTCCATTTTTTTTTTTTTGTATTTTTATTTTATTTTTTATTTTTTGTCTTTTTCCTTTTTATCGGTACCAGGGATCGAACTCACAACTGCACACTTTCAAGGCAGGTGCTTGTGCTGCTGAGCTGAACCCCGGGCCCTGTATTTTTCTTTTTAAATACTTCAATCAGATCCCCAGCTCCACTCTTTTCTTAAACAGAAGAGTCTTGATGCATTGGACATACCTAGGTCAAAGTACAGATCACGTTATTAGGCAAAATTTCTTGCACACAGGACAAGGGAGAAGTGGCAGTGTGCCCTCATAGATCCTGTTGTCTCTGGTGGCTTGTGAAAGCTCTTCAGTTCTGAAAATGGGTCTTTCTTGCTAAGCTGGCTCCTCTCAAGACCCATCACATTATCTCACCCTGAAAGAGAGCAGGAACCCCCATCCTCTCTTGTTCTCTCTCCCATCCCTTCCAGAGATCAAGGACCTTGCAGATGAGCGCCTTTCCCACTAACCCAACTTCTGCAGAATTTTATAACTGTACTTTGGCAGACTTCAGAGCCAAAGCAAATAACATTTGTGATAACAAGGAGGATGCAAAGTTACATCAGAGTTATGCTTGCTTTCTAAAAGTTGCTTGCACATGCTCTAAGAATGAGCATGCTCTCCAACCATGGTGATTGGAAGGGCAGTACCCCCGCCTAACTGCACTCAGAGGCAGGATTCTGAGTGTTTGCACCAGGCTTGTAGATGGCCCAGAAGGAGAGAGGAGGTCATACATTTCACCCACCACAGGCTTCTTGCTCAGGCCCCACTGGGACAGCCCCCAGCCCACTACCTGGAGAAGGCCTAGAAGCCTCGCCTGGACTGGACCCTCCAAAGGGTCTTGGCTCCGACGGCCTTGCCCACCGCAGGCCTCTGGGAGAGCCAGTGTAGAGGCTCAGGATGTGGATTAGTTGTGGAGTTTCTCCTCAGGCTGTTGTTCTCCAGCGGAGGCCAGTCAAGCCGCCCCCAAGTGGAGGGGGTCCACCTGACAACCTGGAATAAGCCCAGGAATTGGGGTGAGAGGCAGTCTTTAGCCTAAAAGAGACAGCTATGGGGACTCAGCAGTAGGGAGCCCAGACTCTTGGCCCTGCTGGAACATTGGCCTGACTCCTGGTGGCCAAGGTCCCCCGACCCTCTGGAGCTACTACTTGCCTGCACCGCCCCCCCAGAGCACCAGACAGAGGTCCTTGCCCCCATCCAGTCATAAGCCCGATCTAGGGCCCATAGGCATGGGGCAGACAGACAGGAACATAACGGGGGCGGCCTGGGCCAAGGACAGTCCACCGCCAGACTGCACTGAGGCCGGAAAGCTGCTCTCAGGGCCTCCGGCCTCTGCTGTCACACTCATCTGAAGCCACAGAAACGCAAGCGGAAAGAGTGGGGCCCGCTGGGTAAACAGGGAGCCTGTGAGCCCCACGGACTGGGGCCTGAACAGAACTGAACCCTGTAGGTTGGGCCCGGAGGAAAAGGTTCAAGGATGAAGGAGTTGGGGTCCTCTGAGCGCCCCCCCCGCCCCCCCAGTCTATGCCCAACTGCTCACAAATGCACCCGACATTCTGCCTCAACCAGCTGGGACCTGCGACTCCAAACCCTGCGCTGCTTCACAGGGCCCACCCCAGGCTCCCCAGAACCCTGCAGGCGCCCACGCGCGGACAGGGGCCTCAGCGCAGGCTCGGCTCTCCGAGCTCCAGCTGCCCGGCTGGGCCGGGGGGGAAGGGGGGGGGCGCGGCGGGGCGGGGCGGCCGGGAAGCAGGGCACAGGAAATGCTGTTAATTGAGGGAAATACACACGAATTGCACGGGCGGCCTTTGAAGTCCCCTCCACGCTGCCAAGCCCACCCGGGCGCCTTCGTCTCCGCCCGCGCGCAGAGCGCAGGGCCGGGCTGGCGGCATCACAGAGCGCGCATAGCCCTGGTTTCCACCGACCTGGGGCTGCGGGCTTATCCTGGCCCCGCACTGCTCCGGGAGACAGCGCGCGTGGAGTCCTTTATGTGCCCCTGCCAGAGGTCCCTGGAGTGAAGTACGACGTCGGCTCGGCTGGCGTTCCAGGGCGAGGAGGCCGCCATGCCGTGACCTAATGTATGTACACATATAAATACAGTGCTCCTCCGAATGACATTCCACTCCCTCCCTGCCTCCCCGCTTTTTCTTTTCATCATCAGCAAATAAAGATTAGCTGGGGAGATTATAGAAAACGTTTTCAGGCTGCGGCTGATCTTTATTCCAGAGGCTTTGTGATGATATTGATGATGATGATGGTCAAGTGGACAGTTTGATTTTTGTGTTTGGAGCTAGTTATAAAGAATCAATATTATATCAAGGGGTAACTTTCGTGATAAAGGACTTTAACCACTCCGGCTATTCATCATAAGTCTGTAGCAAGCAGATAGGTCAAAAGAAATTATATTGCACTAAAGAGTGAGTCTTCTTATCTCTCCTATACCAGGGGAATAAGGGACAAGCCGATCGATACAGTAGCTGCTGTATACTTCTTGCAATTATCAATAGCTGATTTTGCCTTTTGAGGCCTGCATCTATTAATGCAAGCTAATAATAATCATTTGGACCTCCCCAGAGGCAAAGGAGTCAAAGTTTTAGCTCCCCAGCATTATTTATATAATCATACATGATGATGTGCCCCTCCCATGCCGCATGCAGCCTCCATACAAAGTTCAGTGGGCAGGGGAGTTCTTCAAGATGGTTTGCATCCCTAAGTGTGAAGACCCTGGATATGTGCTGATGTTTCTATGTGTAAGCCATAAAAAAAAAAACACGCAGTGCTGGACTGTATTGCTGCAGTGCAGTTACAGTGTCCTGCCCTCCAAATACAGACAGGCTTCAGAGCACACAGACCACGATGGACTTACACACCATGCACACAGTTCCCATCTATGAAAGATATGAAGGCATATTTATACCAATGGCTTTAACTGCAAGGAGAGGAGGATTTGCAGCCAGTGAAGGCAGGGCAGTTAGCTATGCATCAGTTGTTCAGGCAGAGCTTTTGTATTTTTCTGAAGGAAGTTAACTTTAATTAGATGAACAGAAGCTTGAATAAAACTTTTTTAAAAAAATTACCTACATGTTTTTCTAGCACGCCCCCAATATAATAGAAAAACAACATCTTTATAATTGGCACTTGACATGCTGTTTGCGTGGGGCTGTGGTACACCAAGCACAGATTTCCTGTTGATGGAAACATTTATCATCGTGATTGCCCCAGAGTGGCAGGTGGTGTTATCAATTACCTCTTCTTACCAATAATAATATTAGTATGGTAATATCTTTGCTCAAGTGAGAACCAATTAGTGGTCACTTGTCACAGCATTAAAGACCCAACATCATGCTGAATTTAACTCTAAGGACCTAAAACAAAAGTTGGGGGTTGGGGAAATAGCCAGAAGGATGGAAGGAGACAGCGAGTAGGTAAAGGGAACTTGGGGATGAGAGAAAGAATGAAAGGAGACCAAAAATGAAAGCCTTAATATTTGACTGCATGTTTTGTATTAAGCAACTGGAGAAATTAACATATTGTAAACAAAATGTCAAATGCACCCTATGTAAAACCAGCTTTCCTGCATCTAGAGCCAGGTAACGTCAACATTGTGATGTTAAATTAGAATCAACTATTCAACCTCCCCTTGTCAGATCAATCTTGCATAGGCTCTCTGTTTTATCTAAATAAATGATACAAATTAATCAAACACTTAATTATATGTTCTACTAATGTAAAATATACAGTATTAATTTGTAAATAATATTATTAAGCAGACAAAATAATAGCATGTCTCCTCTTAAGATAAAAACAAAATTGCAAGAGGAAAGACAATTAACAAATTAGATTTAATTACAGGGAAGAAAATCAACTTTTGTTTTTGCAATAGCATTTAGATATTACAATAATTTAATAGACAATGGTCATGTGATAATAAATACATGTGTGCCTCATGCCTGAGTCAGAGTCACACCCCTGCTCTGTTGCTGTGTCTTAACCTAGGCACAATCAGAGCCTAAATCCTAACTGAAAATATCTCGTTGACCCACTGCCACTTTGAAATGTTGCCATTATATATACTTTCATTAAAACTTCCTACAGTAAGAACAATTGGTTTCTGATCCTGAGTGCAGGGAGGTAAAAAGGGGAAGGAAACAGGTAAGTGAGGAAGGAAGAAACCTGCCTTTTGTTTTCACCATTACTTTAAGTTTTTCTTTAATCTTGTGCTCCCTAGCAGTTTTTACAAGGATGCACTTTGGGATTTACTCAAGAGTACCATTTTGGCACTGGAGGGAATTAGCTCAGGCTCCGTTGCCTTCTGGCCCTTCCGTCCAGGTCTTTGCTTCACCTTCTCAACGAAATTCGAGCCCAGCCTGCGCCAAGGGAGACCTGGAGCCTGCACGGTCCCCGGACAGCTCGGTCCTGCACCTCCCTGACTTTGGGACTGCAGCCCACCTAGGGCAGGGCCAAGCAGATAGACCTCCGGCTTATTCCTGAGAGATCCACCATGTCCAGTCACGCCTCGCGTCCTGCCTGCTTTACCTTCCCAACTTAGGACTCGCTGGACTCTTCTGCAATCTGAAGGCTTGCTTCGTGCACACGAAGGGCCGGAGCTCAGTCTGCCTTCATTGGAGAGACTTCAAAGATCCTCCCCAGGACCACACCTCATAGAAAATGCAAAGGAAGTGCACAAAATTAAACAATTGCATTTGGAAGCCCCGGAAAGACTTAGAGAAATCACGACCATTTGTTGGAGAGAGGAATGGGGATCAGAGGAGGGAGTACGAGAGGGCCACCAGCAACCAAAAGGTGGGCAGCGGCTGGCTGTGGCGACCCACTGAGGAGTCAGTCAGTCGGGCTGCGGCGGCCGGGAGGCTTTGGAATCTAGCGGGAACCGGTCTTCCCGGAAAGGCATCAAATGCCGCCGGCGTGAGAACCTGCATTTCCTTCTTCTTCCCAAAGTGTGTAGATAACAAACAGAAAGAGGGAGGGGAATGACCAGGTCATAAAAGACAGTATGGTTTTAACCTGGAGCAGCAATCTGCGATGATCGTTCTGCGCTCTTCTAGAAAGTAATGCCAGACATCTGCCTTCCCGCTAAACTAAGGTGCGGCGGCTTCTCTGAAACTCTTTGGTCCTCTACATTATACAAAAACTTCATTCGCCACTGCCACCCCTCCCACTTTTCTTTTTTTCTATCCCCATCCCTGCAGCTTCCTCTTTTCCCAGGAAAATATCTGTCTCTCCTCACCCCAAAGCCCTGCGGCAAACTTTTCACTGCAGAGCGCCCCTGTGCCAGACCAGAGAGCGTCCCCAAAACGCTCACAGCCTTCACAAAACTTCACCGCGATTTCAGTAACATTTTGCCCGGTAGTTGACGAAAGCGCAATCGATGTGTGAGTCAAATGGGCGAACTCTAGAGTATGAGCATTTTTTATTTGCCTTTAAAAAAGTCACCTAACTGAATACGCCCTTCAAAAGCCAAAAACAAAATCAACCTTAAAAGATTTTTTTTTTTTTCGTAAGTGGCTCTTGGAGCTGTTTGGAGACGACTCCAACCTGTGTGCTTTCTTCCTCTGCATGATTCTCCTGCGCTCTTCCTGGAGCTCAAAGCTGTTGCTTCGTGAAATTTACACAACTAGAGGCTGGCGGGAGAACACGGGCTGCGAACCGGAGTCTAGAACTGAAAAGCCTCCGACCAAGTGCAGGGAGCCGAGCCAGACCCGGGCGTTTGGAGGGGCAGGGGATTCCACAGTCAGGCAACAGCTCCAGGCTCAGTTGGGAAAGTGCGGCCGCCAGGCGTAGGGGGTTATGTGGTCACCTGCCCGCCACCCCCGGGCGCTGCCGCTGCAAGCGATAACCAGGGGAAACGCGGGAAGGCCATCTGTGCAAAGCTTCGCATCACACAGGGCCACTTGCAAGGACAAAAACATAAAAATTAGAAAATAAAAAGGACATACTGGGGCTAAGGGCACTGGCGCGGGCGTGGCGGTGGCGGCGAGGCCCGAGGTACATCCTGGTGGCTGCCCGGGGATGGAGGACACGCACGGCCAAGCGCGCGGGCGTGTGTGCTCGGCTGCAGATGGAAGAGCGCGCGGGTGAGCGCGCAGGGGAGAAGGCGCGTTCGTGTGGCCGAGGGCGGGGGAGCCCTAGCGCAGGCTAGGCTAGTCCAGACCTGAGCGACCCCCTCACCTGGCCCCCAATGTCACCCCCGAAATCCCCAGACGCGGCGGGCCGTGCGCGGGACTTCTGTGGACTTGGAACTTTCAGTCGCGCTCGCCGCCCACTCCGCAGGTTCCCACCAGTGGGTGCCTGAGCTACCGCGCCGGTCGGGAAGGGAACCGGTGGGAGGAGGCGGGAGGGACATTGGGACCCGCTCTTCCCTCCCTTCCCCGGACTTAAGAAGCCTCCCGCGGAGAGGCCTCGGCAGGCGGACTCTGGGGCCGAGGTGGCCCTAGTAGCAGCGACGAGCGGGGCGGGCGCTCCAATCTGTGGGACCAGGGGTGGAGGGAGAGGGGGGAGGGGAGGGGAGGGGAGGGAGGGGGAGGGGAAAGGTAGGGGAGGGGAGGAGCCGCGGGCCCGCGCCGCTTCCGAACCGGAAAGTTGGTCTTGCCGAAGTCCCGCCACCCCGGCGTGTGCACTCCACTCCGCTCCGCTCCGCTCCGGCCGCGAGTCTGGGAGCACTGCCGCGCCGGGAGCCTGTGGAGGGGACCCGAGCCTGGAGAGAAGGTCCGGAGTCCGGCACCTGAGCCAGCGCAGGCCGCGTGCCGAGCGCTGTCGCGACCCGCGCCGAGGAGGACGCCGGCGGCTGGCCCTGCGCACCCGGAGCACAGGCGGCGCGGCGCCCGAGAGCGGCCCGGGCGAGACAAAGGCGCCGGGCCGGAGCCCTGCCCGCGGCCGCTCGCTCCGGGAGGGGCGGCCCGGCGGCGGGGCGGGCGGGGGGGCGCGGCGCGGGGCGCGGGCGACGGCACAGATACTCTATAAAGGGGCGAGCCCGGCGCGCTGGCGGAGACGGCGCCGCGCGGACGCCTCCAAAGTTTGCTGCTGCGTTTGACGGAGGGGAGGCCGCCGAGGCCCGCTCCGCACCGGGGCCTGCCTGAGCCGCACCGGGGCAGCGGAGCCGCGCGGGCGGCGGAGCCCGAGATGTGAGAGGCGCCAGGCTGCGCGCATCCCGGTCCGCGAGCGCCCTGCCCCTCCTCGCCGGCGCGGCCGCTAATTGCGAGCGCGGCCTCATTTGCATAGGCCGCCGGAGTCCTCTGGAGGCCGGCCAATCGGCGCGGCCCTCCGCTAATGGCCATGCATTATTCACCAGCCTAATTGCTCAGCCCCATGCGCGGCCCGCGCAGCCGCCGCCGCCGCCCTGCGCCCCGCGCCCCGCGCCCGCCCGGCCGCCCCGCGCCCACCCAGCGCCGTCCCCGCCGTCCTCCCAGCTGATGCGGCTGCCCCGTGCGGGGCCAGAGCGCCGCTAACGACATGTCTCGGCGCAAACAGGCCAAACCCCAGCACCTCAAGTCGGACGAAGAGCTGCCGCCGCCGGACGGGGCTCCCGAGCACGGTGAGGGCCGGGGGCTGCGGGGTCGTCTGGGAGGCTGGGGCGCTCGCCCGGGTGGGAAGCGCGGGCGGCGGGAGCGGCCCGGTGTGTCTCGGAGTGGGAGAAAGTTCCCCTTCCCGCGAGCAAGTGTCCGAGTTGCGTCCGGTTCCCGGGCCGGGGCAGCCGCGAGGACCCGGGTCCTCTGCCGGAGCGCGCGCCGCCGCGGAGAGTTGCGGGCCAAGTAAAGTTGGCTCCGCTTCGGGGAGTTGGGGCTCAGCTCGCCGAGAGCGCTGGGGCCGGGCTGCCCGGGGGGCGGCTGGGGGCCAGCGCGGCCGGACGCGGAGGCCTGCGAGCCGAGCCGAGCCGGAACGGGCGGGGGTCGGGCCGCCGCCTCCACGCTGCCCCCTGCCCCGCTGCGCCGGGACACGGGGCGGGCCTGGTGACGGCGGAGACCTCGCGGACCCCGGCCCGACTCCGGAACGACCCCGGGACGGCGCGGCAGCGGGATACGCGTCCGAGGCTGACCTCCCGCGGGCCCCAGAGGCCGCCGCCTCGCTAGCTTTGTTCGACTTAGCGCGCCCCGGTGCTCGGGCGATGCGTCCCCGGAGCCTGCGCGGGGGCCCGTGCCACCTCGCCGACCGCAGGCTGTGCTCCCCGCCCTCCGTACCGCTTGCTTGCAGCCTGGAGTGACCCTTGGCCGCGCACCCCGCGATGTCCTGGAGCGCTAACAAATCCAATGATCCCATTCGGAAACGAGTGGAAAGTAAACGTCTCTTGGCCTTTCCTTAATGGCCGACTTGGGAATTAAGCGAGGGGTGAGCGCAGCCGTGGCGCTTGGGGGCTGGGTCCTCACACACCGCAGGACTCCGGCTCGTTTCTGGCCGCTTGCAAGTTTTTTCTTAGGCGTTTTGCTATTCTTTTGGATGCATGGAAATTGGGCGCTGGAGGCACCTTTGCAGTCGATCCGCAGTTAGGAACTTCCTCTTCGGAACATCCCGAAGTGGTGGACAGGCGTCGCAGAAGTTAGAGAATGATGAAGATTCTGATTAACTGTAGTCGAACTTTGGCACTATAAAGTTTAGGGAAGCCCGAATCCATCTCATCAAGTCAAAAAGCCCGGCCCTGGGCTCCGGCTTCGGGTTTCCGTGCGCCCCGCAGGGGTCCCCAGGGCGCCCTCTAAGAGGGCCGAGGAGGGGCGGCCGCGGGCATCCCAGAGCCTGCGGTCAGCACGGACGTGAGATAATTTGTTCCTTTAAAAAAAAAAAAAAGACTAACCAACTTTTACGATTAACCCATTATAAGCTGTTTGGGGATAAATTCTAATCTTTTTACTGTGAGAATTAGACTGCGAAAAGAAAAGGGGAGAGTTTTAAGAGTTTGTCACACGGTGATGTAAAGTTTGACAAAGCAGGTTCCATCTTCGTCGAAATGGAGAAAGTGAGAAAATACGTAGAACAGACTGGGTAAGGAGTGAATGGAATAGAACTGAGGACTGCTTGGGTCTTTTTGTTGGGAGAGGTATCCACGCAGCAAGTCAGCCAAGATTAGAACGGGCGATATGCTAAAAGAAACGCTTGCATATGTTGGGTAGATTAAGGACAAAGAATCTTTTTGTCATGGAAATGGATTTTTTTGTTTTGTTTACTTCTTCACATAGAATTTCTCACACTTGGTTTGTTTTGTATTGCCCTCAATGACTACATGATCAAATGAATGGATTTATTTCTGCCGAATGAGAAAGACAGTCTTTCCTTCAAAAGAACTACATTGCATCCCAGTGAGGAATTTTAAAGCTTTATTATTGTGGCTCCTGAATAGCTTAAAATCGGCTTTCACAGCCGCCCCAAAATGCAACAATGTAAATACTTCTCAGCTTTGTAGGGTCGTTATCAAAATGTGCAATGTCTCCTTTTATTAAAGCATATTTTAATTAATAGAGTAAAACCTCTTGTATTTAACAATTAACAAGCCGAGGCACTGCTGTTCATTTTTTAATTTAACTTCAGAAATGTGAGCGTGATGAACTTAATAGTGTAAACATGTTGGAGAATATATAGTGTTGAAACCTTCAGATGGAGTAATTATTTACAAGTTCTATTTTGAATTCGCCTTGCTTCTTGAATTTGTTTAGAGATTCACCACACCCAGGCTTTTCACCATCCTAGGAGTGCAGTTTTTGTCGAGCCTGTGTTTTCCACAGCCATTCTGAGTTCTAATCACGATGTTGCTACAGTTCCTGATCATATTTTGCAACAGGCCAAAAATAGCCTGTCTGGGGCCGAGCCCTAGGAAAGCAGTATATATTTCCCATGCTGTTTGGAGGGTAGTTCAGGCAAACTATTAAAGCAAGTGCTTTCTACTTTAATTGTGCTGAAGCAGATTGTTCATGAGACATAAAAGATACTGTTCCTGTGAAGTCTAGGAATGCTTATGTGTGTATTACTCTAAGATAACAAAAGTTTTTTTTTTTTAAGAAGACAAATGGTTGTACCTGCTAAATTACTCCAATGTGAACCTGATCTCTACATAATTTTAATTTTGTTAAATGCCGTGGAAATAAACATGTCAGGAGTGGAGTTACAATTGAGCTAAGTTAGTTTACAGTGTTTTAGCAATGAAGTAAATAATTCCTTTGTATCACTTAGGACATAACATATTAATTAAAGCAATGGGTCCATCTACATGAAGTAAATTGATGTCATGAAAAACAAATACACTGTGCAAAAAAAAGTATAATGGTGGGCAAAGTTCAGAGACACTTTACTTTATAGTTATAAATCCTATATTTTTGTAACTAGTTTTTCAGGCTTTAATTTTTAGACAAGCAATAAAAACAATGCTATACAAAAATAGATTTGGAGCTACTCTAGCTTTACCTCTGAAGGAATAAAATGATGACATATTTAGAATTAGAAAACTAAGGATGATTTATGTAAAGCTCTAAAGTTACCCTTTTCTAAAAAATTATTTTAAGATCATTCAGACTTACATTCCCAGTAGAAACTGTCTTTTAAAATTACTTATTTCATTCCCATTTTAGAAGTAATGGCCTGGAGTTAAGTTAAATGTATGTCACCAATAATGATATCCTTTGAACCAGCTGAAGATTTTTGTTCTAAGAAAAACTAAAACTTCCAGTGACAGTGCAGCACTTAACTCCCACCAAGAACTTTAAAGGTATAATGTTGCTATCCTGTGTTGCATAAGTGCAGTGGAAGAAACATTTTACTGTCCTTAGAAAGTATGTATTTAAGGAAGAACAAAAGGATATTGCAATTTAAAGTTTGTCATCCTGCATTTTGTTGGTACTGATTGCTTCAAAGTGTTTTTATTTTCTGCCAATTTATAGTGTATCTTAAGAATCCTTTCAAATACAGTGAGCCTATGACCTAAGGATTTACCCGAGGAATTCACAGGCTGTGTTTAAATTCAGGAAAAGAAGGCCATCAGCACTCAGTGAAGAGGTCTTTTTTCTTTTATCTGTAGATGCAGGGTTTGCGTTCAGCTTCCCACCACACTACCCACATTTACAATTCAGCATACCAAAAGGGACAATGCAGAAGCCACTTTCCAGCATCCACAGGCAGATTGTTTTCTCTGAAACATAGAAAGTAAAAAGGAACCAGGGAAGAGAAGGAAGACCTGCAAATGATTTTTTAAAATATCACATAGAAATTTAGCCCATTTAAAAATGCATATTGCCATGATCAACAAAAAAGGGGGGCTATTAATTCTACCTTTCAGAGAGCTGATTATGTGACCAGTGTTAGGAAATTGTTGTGTACGGTGCATTTTAAACTTTCACAGCATATGTATAATCTAGAATTTTTCAAGTGTTAAGGGCCAGAGAAAGGAAAAAGTATGGAGTAACAGCAGGTATTACTTCACAAGCTGATTACTTTTTGCATCCACAATGATGGGGAAAGCAGGCAAAAGTGGGTCAGATTTCATTTTCAGCTTCAACCTCTAAGAAGCTCTCGTATTCATCTCCAGGTAGCCTTAAGAACATTTTCTTGCAAGGGGAAATGCAGCAAAGTACAGTCAAGGTTTCTGTTCTGCAGTCTGACTATCAGTTGAAATTTAGTATTCTTAAATGTAAGTATTGGCACAAGCTTTCATTTAAGTGCATTTAAAATTGTTTTAACTGCTTGTAAGGTCATTCCTGAGCTTGTAATGCTGCAAGATAGTTTTATGAAGCATACATTTTTAATAATGTAACAGGAAAGGTGGTTTTTGGATTTTTTTTTTTCCTGGTGTTTTTTGTTTTGTTTTGTTTGGCTTTGCTTTTCCTGTGTGATTTCTTGCCTCATTCCCAGAATGAAATCAACATATCTTAGTCTCATGAAGATGTGAACTAATTTTACTACTATGAGGGTAGCTTTCATAATAACAGCATAAATTAGATTGCTACCCGTTTCATATAAAATCAGATATAAATAAAACCTATGTGAAAATCGAATGTTGTACTACTTTAAGTAAACTTTGATTTTAAAAAAATCTTGGATTTTTTTCTCTTATAATTTCAACACGTTTATGATTTGAAATGTAATTAAGTGCATGATTTCCAGGCAAACAAGGGAAGTCATGTTACAAAAAGTATAAAATATTAACAAAATAATGGAATGACCTCTATGCTACAGATTAAGATTGATTTGTTTCTTAATTAAAAGGAAGAATTTCCGAGTGTCCACCAAACAGACCAGATGAGGCCAGTTGGTATCTAAATATTTTCCTCTGTGGGCCTTTTTAAATCACCCCCAGATTAGTTCTGCGTGCTATCAGAGATCCCTCTCGCTTAGCGCTCTCTGTAAACAGTGGCCACACAGCACCACGCAGGGAGGCTTCTTGTCTGCTGTATGTGAAAGGTGAGTTGCAGAGTGTGGCCAGTCCCGACAGACCCTCCTGAAGGTGGGTAGTTAGAAGTGCTGTGACAAACCTTGCTGATTTAACCTTTGCCTGCTTTGCCCTGCTAGGGGTGGCCACTAGATGTCAAGCTCATAATACAATTAGTGCATCTGTGCTGT